TTACTAATGCAGTAAACATGAAATTGTGTACCTTCTTCCTCTCCGACCAAACAACACTTACCTCTACTTTAGAGACCACTAGATATATTAACAACTGCTTTCCATCCCCCGGTTTTAATAGTAACGGGGGGCTGGACAGATACCTTTTAAGATCTTTCAATGCCTATTGGCATTCCGAAGTCTATTCAAAATTGGTCTTCTTTTTCAGAAAAGAAAAGTAAGTGATGACACTTCTCTGAGGATCATGAGATGAATCTACTTAGAGTCGCTAACCTTCCGGTCAGCCTCTCTATTTCCTTGACACTTGTCAACTGGTGCGGAATATTCTCGATAACTTTGATTTTAGTCAGGATTTACCTCGATCCCTCATTGAGAGAATAAGAACCTAGGAACCAACCCCAAACACGCATTTCTTGGGGTTGAGCTTCATGTTATGCTTCCTCAAAATGTCGAAAGTCTCTTGGAGGTGTTTCAAATGATCTCCTGTATTTAAAAACTTGACTAAAATGTCATTGATATTTACTTCCATTGTCTTGCCTATCTAACCCTCAAACATTTTATTAACAAGCCTCTGATAAGTGGCTCCGGCGTTCTTAAGCCCAAAAGGCATCACGTTATAGCAATATGTCCAAAGTTTGTTATGAAAGAAGTTTTTTTCCTAATCCTCCAAACTCATCTTGATTTTATTGTACCGGGAGTAAGCATAAAGGAACTCATTAGCTCGTGTCCGGTCGTCAAATCAATTATTTAATCAATGTTTGGCAGCAGGAACGAGTCTTTAAGAAACACCTTATTTAAATATTTATTGTCTACGCACATCCTATATTCGTTATTCTTTTTGGGTACTGCAACTACGCTGCTAACAATTCCGGATACTTTACCTCCTGGATAGAATCAATATTGAGTTGTCGGGTTACCTCTTCTTTACCAAACCTGTTCTTAACCTTTGCTATCGCACATTTATTTTTCCTTACCAGTGGAAAGTTTGGATCCAAACTTAACTCGTGGACTGCTATGTCTAATGGGATGCCTATCATATCTGAGTGCAACCAGGCAAAGTAGTCAACTTTTGCTTTAAGAAAATTTATAAATTCTAAATTGAGCTCAGGATTTAACCATGTTCCCAGATGAAACTTCCTTTCAAAAAATTATTCGTACAAGGCCATTTGCTCATGTTTTTCTGCGATTTACTTGGTCGCATTTGTCTCTTCTGGTACCTGAAAGTCTCTTGGAACCTGATAGGACTCCGGTGACTCCCCACTTTTATCGTGTTCATTCATAAAGGGAGAAGGCATCGTTTCCTGTAATTACTATTTGTTGGACTCTTTCCTCTTGCTACTAGAAACAGTTACCTCGTTAATTTCCCTCACCATCGATTGGTCTCCTTGTATTTGCTTGATTCCCTCCAGCATAAAAAACTTCAACAACTAGTGATATATTGAGGGTACATCTTTCATCTCGCGTATCCACGGCCTTTCAAGGATTACATTGTAACTCATATCGCTATCCACCACTTCGAATAGAGTAGTCTTCGTTACTCCTTTGGCATGTGTGGGCAACAAAATCTCTACTCTGGTTGTCACTCTTGTCATGTTGAAGCCAACTAAGAGTTTTGTCACCAGAATGATATTTCCGGTCAACTTTGCTTGCTAAAAAATTCTCCATTATATTATGTTGGCTGAACTTCCTGGGTCAACCAAAACACGTTTAATTATGAAATCTAAAACATTGAGAGTGATTACCAAAGCATCGTTATGTAACAGAAGAAGTCCGTTAGCATCCTCCTCCGTGAAGGTAATGTCATCTTTTATGACTTCCCAGGGTCATTTGTTGTGAGTCACTGATATCTTCATTTTCTTCGCTGCTGAAAATGTTACACCATTGACTTGTCTCCTCCAAAGATCATATTGGTAGTCATCCAAAGTCTGCCCTTCTGATATAGTAAAAGGCTTTGTATTGTCCCATCTTTGGCTGTAGTTGTTCTTGGATCGATCACTTAAAAACTCCCTAAGATGGACATTCTTCAACTATATCTCCACCTCTTTGCAAATATATTGGCAGTCCCCAGTTTTGTGGCCGTGAGTTCTATGGTATTCACACCACCAACTAGAATCCCTCTGGCTAGGATCTGACTGGATTGGCTACGGGAACTGCACCTTTTTTATATTTTTCATTGGTGATGCCAATTCTACTAGGCTGATGTTGAAATTTTAATTTGATAACGTGGGATTTTTGGAGTCTCGGGCCAATGGAACCTCGTTCTCTTGCAACAACTTGTTGCTCTTACCATGATCGACTCTTCTATTGGGAGAGACCCTATCCAATGTCTGAAACCCTTTGCTGCTACGCCCATCGGTCCTCTCGTACGGAAGAAAACAACCTTTAGAGGACCGTCGATCAACACTGAAATCACTTTTATACTTTTCATGGCGTTTGTCTCAACCCCGTCGCTTACCCAATATGGAAGACCTAAGTTGATTATCTTCTATCCTTATTTTTCACACATAATGGTTATGGACATCTGCCCATGTGGTTGCCTGAAACTCGAGTAAACTATCCTTCAGTTTTTGAGAGGCATCAGATCTCACTGGATTTAGACCCTTTGTGAATGCCTCTGCTTCCCACTCATCTGGAATGACCGGCAGAAGCATCCTTTCTTTCTAGAACCGGATCATAAATTCTTGCAGCAGCTTAGATTCGCCCTGCAAAATTTTTAATATGTCTGCCTTTCTGGCCTTAACATTCTTTGATCTGGCATGTGCCTTAGTGAATGAGTATGCAAGCATTTCAAAAGAATCAATTGAATTTCGGGTAAAAGAGAGTACCATGTCAGGGCCCCCTTTGTGAGTGTTCCACCAAACTTCTTCAACAAGACCGACTCGATCTCATGTTGGGCCAAATCATTTCCTTTCACAGTCATGGTGTAGCTTGTGATGTGCTCCTATGCATTCGAAGTCCCATCGTAATTCGGTATGTTCAGTATTTTGAATCTTTTTGGAATTAACTCTGGTGTTGCACTTGGATTAAATAGCAATTGTGTGTACTTTCTTGAATTCAGAGCCTTTAACACTAGTGATGCTCCTGGAATCTAATCTGAGCATGGAACTTCTTTGCATTCTAATCCATTCGTTTGTTCATTTCTCTTATAAACTTCATGAGATCGGTTTTGAAAGGGTCACTTCCGTTGTTTTTCCCAGATCCGATACCAGTCCCTCCGGCTTCGTCGAAACCAACTTCGCCCCTAGGGGTGTTGTGATCAATTCTCTGAGCCGTTTGATTTATGGGAACACTGGAAGGGCTTGGACCCCTTATGTTTGTGTTGCTAGAAGAACATGATAATGTTTGTTTTAACTATGTCGTCACCTGATCTTACCTTGATTGATGATCCGTGATTGTTTACTATTGTTCCCTTAGGAGTTTGACCGTCTCCACGACATGTTTCTCTTCAGCATCATCAGGAGTTGGGTCTCGCATATGCCGAGGATACTGACCTTCGCAAACTAGGGTTGTTTCTTCACCTTCATTGTGGGTGTCTCTGATTGAGTCATAATGTTGGAACAACTCTCCCCGTTAAATATGAGCTTCAAGGTTGTGTGCGTTGTTGACACCGTTAGCTACCATGTATGATTTTTACTAAAGAAAGAACTGAAACTCGTTAGTAATAAATGATTTGATCAAAGCAATTATGCAGCTGTCTATCTCCCACGGTGGGCGCCAAATTGTTTATCCGTAAATAGTACAGTTGAATTTGTAATGTAGTTTATAGAAAACCGAGTTGAATTGACCCTAAAATCGATAAATAAATAAGATTGAAGTTAAGATTTGGCGATTGAGATTAAAGAAGATAATAAGCTTGGTTCCGAATTTAGCCTTTATGAGAATAAAAGTAAAAGTATAGATAAAGCAAAGATGAAGCTGTTAAAGTGAGAGCTAAATAGTAAAGTACAACAACAACAAACCTAGTTTAATCCCATACATGAGGTCTATGGAGGGCAGTGTGTACACAGCTTTGCCCCTATCATATAAAGGCAGAGAGGTTGTTTCCGATAGACTAAATAGTAAAGTATGAGAGCAAAATAGTAAGGTATGACTTTTGCATAAAGAGTGTTTCCTGTCCTTACAATAGTTAACCCCACTATTTATAGTTCTACCTAGGAAAACAAGATCCTAGGATCAAGCTTCTCTATAAATGAAAATAAAAGTGTCATTGATAAATATGTAACGACAAGCCTTGAATACAAATATTCTTTGTAACAGCTTCTCATTTAACACTAGCATATATTCCCTTATTAGATGTTGCCCGATGGTGAATCTTTGATCTTCTACCGCCGGCTACATTCCCGTCGGAATCCATCCGGTACCAGTTACACACGTTGCATTCAGTATTAATTGTTTCCCGACTCGTCCTTTGCCTATCTTCGACTCAACGTATCATCTTATCATTAGACCACTTATTATTAACCAATTTTACCCAATACACCAAGTAGATATCTTCCCACACAGACCAAAACAACTTTCTACACTTCTTGAAAAGTCATTGTAAAAATCAATAACTTATTACTATCCATGGGCGGGAAATTTAAGAGACAATGCTACCATTGACTATGATGATACTGGGGCTGAGTTCTTGAAAGTTGAAGTGAATTGTCCAATTGATAAAGTTCTTTGTCACCAAGATTCAAGCATAAAAATATAACATTTCCTCAAGGTGTGCCCTTGAGAAAGGCTGCAGATGGTGCCTGCTTAATTGTATCTCAACTCAGCCATTTTGAGTGCGGAGGAATAGCAATCAGTGTGTGTCTGTCACACAAAGTGGGCAATGCGCGCAGTGCCCTCTTCTTTATGAGGGATCTAAACGCAAAATTAGTATGTTCTCCATTCATTAACCAGGATCCTTAATACCATCACTATCTGATAGTCCTCTGGCCTTCCTAGTAATCGTGTCAAAACCAGAATAACGAATAGAACTCGAAAAGAGGTTCTATTTTTCTACCTCAAAGATGAGAGATCTCAAAGAATTGGTTGCTACTGAATCAGGCGTCGAAAATCCAACAACAACTGGGTTAGTCAATGCACTTGTTTACAAATGTGCTGCTATTGTCAACTTGGGTTCATCTCATGAGCAATCTTGGTTGGTCCTACTATCAGATATACGAAAAGAAATTTCACATTCAGTACCACCAACTTCCATCGGAAATATTCTCACAATCTTTACCTCACCAATATACAACAACAAAGGAGACCTTAGGGTGTCAAATTTAGTAGCCGATATAAGAAAGTCGAAACATGAGCTTTCCAACAGAGATAGTAGTTTTAAAGAAAATGAGTGGGCTTCAAGAATGTTACATGCATTTAAAACAATAGATGGTACTAATAGCCAAAGTAATTGCGACGTATACCGTTGTAGTAGTGCATCTAACATACCATTTCTAAAGGTACAGGAGGGGGTGTATTATAGCCAATTGTAAAGCTTAATTCACTAAGAAAGGAATTAGTTGACTAACTTTACAGTAGGATCAATTGCAACAGAATTAAATTGTGTAGAAGGAAAAGTAAAGATGGCACAATAATTTTATACTGGTTCAATACCGGTGTGGTACGTACGTCCAGTTACCTTGGATCATAAGGGTTCTCTTAGAACTTCAATAAATTTTTACAATAGTGATGGTTTTAGTACGTTCACCACCAACGACATACAACAATAATGTTTTTTAGTGTTGACACACCTCTTGTTTTGTATTCTAACTCTTCCTGTCTTTTGCGATACTTGTAGACTCGGGAATATAGTGTTTGTACTAGGAACTAGAAAGGTGTAGAAATAGATGTGAAGTTGCATGATCTTCCTTGTCCTTCAACTTCTTCTTTTGTAGTGCTCGATGAGTCTTCTAATTTCTCTTTTCTGGGATCGCAAAGGAGCAATGATTGGAGGTTTTTCCTTGTGATGCATCGACTTCTAAGAGTGAGACTGATGCTCCCCAAACACACATGCAAATATACGTGATTGTACAAGTAATAAAATGATAAGTCGAGTGTCAAACTCACAGAGACTTATATCAACTACCCACTAAATTCACCAAGATTGTTATTCAGTCAAGCTAAATTTGAGTTTAAGAAAGTGATTATACTAAATTATAATTCTAAGTAGTAACTAAATTATTAAGCAGTAAAATGGTTGTTGTGTATTCAGTAGAGACAATATTCTAGGGTTGTGATCGATTCACCAATCCGATTGTGTTCTAGTTACCTCTCCGTTTCATACAATTTACTAATGGTTGCTAATTAATCGAATAGTTTCTCTCATAGCCTTCTCCTAAAGTACTACTCGCCCATTCGAAATAGATTAACGCCTATATTCCTATGAAATCAATCTATTAAGAACGCATTAAGGTTAGGATATTTAATTAAGTACGATGACTAGGTATATTCCTATCCTAACTACAAATCCGCCCCCATTAGAGTTAAGATCATGCTCTCTTCAATTCTTCTCTAATAATCTAAACATGGCTTTCCCAAGCATAGCATAGATAGTAAATAGAACCTAACTGATGGCCAGACAATTAAGCAATTAATCACATAATAGAAGAAACAACCATATATTGGTGAATTATAATCAAAGTTAAGTCAACATTAAACAACAATATTCATGGCTAAATCACAACCCTAGAACTATTGGTTTTAGCCACTCATGATAGTATCAAATAAATTCATAAGTGTTAGATAATTGAAAATACTAAGAAAAGATGACGAAATCTGAGATATCCTTACTCCTGAATGTTTCCCATGTGTATTCTCTATTCAAAGTGGCGTCTATCCTCTAAAAATAAGCTTAGTCTGGCTTTTATACGCATTCGATAGGTCTAGGACCGAAATAACCTTGTCCTGGGCAAAGTTCGACAATTTTCTCGGCACTAGCGTCCAACCCAGCACCCCATGCTGGCTTATTGTGCATTCTGTCTCTAGCGCCAAAGGTGGCGCTGAAAAATCAAACTTTTTCTTTTTCCTCTATTTTGGCTCTAATATCGCACCTTTCGCCCCCAATTGCTTTCAGATAATTCCTACACACAAAATACCTCGAATTAATATAAATCAACATATTTTACATCCGAAATCCGTGAAACACGAGTAAAACATGAGGCGATATACATATAAATATATATACTTTAAGCTAAATATCAACACCCCACACTTAGACTCTTGCTCGTCCTCGAGCAATAGGACTAACAACTCTATCCCAACTATATACAAATCTCAACTAGAGAGGAGCACTTTATTTTTATAACCACACACTCTACCCTTGACTATGATCGATACCAGCAATCAAGCATGAACATACAAAATTCACATTCTTACCGTTTTAAACATGCCCAAGTATAACATTTCAATTCAATCAATTCAAACAACCAATTTGTAACCACCCAACATCGAAAGCCGACTTGTAATCACTAAGCACACTCAACTCGTGCACTTATCCAACAAGAGGAGTTCACAACATTACCAATCATTCATGAGATCATCTGCCCTCACTAACAAATGAAAGAGTAAATATAGATTTAGTCCACCCATTCAATTATGCTTTTGGAATATAAATTAAGGACATCACAAAATTTAACAAAATTCGCTCACTTCTCACACAGAATTCATATGCATCTTGTGGTCGCACCATAAGCTTGCCCGTAGTGTACATCTCTACTAATCTAAGCTAGCCAAATCTAGGATCAATTAGGACGTTAAGGTTGTAATGTAGGCTATGGGACATGTATGATATGTTTAGGAATAGTGACTAACCCTCCTAAGCACATTATTACACTACACTCACATATCGAGCACATCCTCTTCTCAACCAATTTGCTCACCACAAACCATATACAACATAGCCCTATTTTTCATTGAGCACTTCTATACTCCTACTAGCACAAATTAGTAAGATTAAGATGTGTGTATTTTTCTACATAGTTTGACTATAATTTTTTTCTTATTCGTGCAATCTTTTTATTTTTATTTCTCTTTTTTTCTTTCTTTTCTACACACACTCCATACATTAAAGTTCATCGGCTAGTGACTTTTGATTTAAACTTTAATGATCCAAGGGGCCCTTATATGGTTCCACTCAAAATCTACTCTCCAATCTCTCACCTTACTTCTTTTAGCGTCTAAGTGCTTTAGGAGGTAAAGGTTCAACAATCTGAAATTAAGATCAAAATAGGGGTAAGGCTTGTAATGTGGGTGCCAAAGAAAAGGTCTATGGGCTCAAAGCGGCTAGCAACGGAAAATTTTGTTTTTATGTCACAACACATCTATGATCATGCAAGAAATGCCTATGTCATCTCCTAGATTAGCACAACTTAATAATTTCGCTTCGATTAACACACGTGTCAAGTTCTAGACTACATAGGATAGCACAAAGAATCACAATTCCTCATATATACACATTGCACATGACTCAATTAAGACAGTTCTGTTCAACTCTCAAGTCAAGCAAATATATAAGATTGAGAAAATTAAGTAATAAAGCTCTATGTGTCATACAAGTCGAATAATTGAGAAAAGACATCACAAAATAGGCTATTTAATTTACTCAGGCACCACAATTCAAGCCAAATATACGGGGAATTAGATTGCATATCATATCCTAATATGCCAGCACCAAACATGTCACTAGGCATCTCAGAGCAACTCGGTTTTTTTCTAACCTATTCCTAAAAAAAAATACCTGGTTCGAGCTACACCCTTAGAGAAGAACCTGCGCCAAAACAAAAACTAAGGGATACTACCTAACTATCCTAATAATAAAATCTTTTTGGTGTTTTTAGAAGGACTTTATCCCTCAAGAAAATTTTCCAAAAAATCCATAATCAGGAAAAGTGCGAGCTTTTTCTAATTTTTATTCTTTTTGTACTTTTCTATGTTTTTTTAGTTTTTTTTCTAAAACAAACTAGACTAAAAAGTAAACTCAGTAAAACTAATAAAAGAAGCAAAGTGATACAATTTATACAAAGTACATCAGAAGTAGTAGTTCTCCCACCCCACACTTAGTCTATGCATAGTCCTCGATACATATAAAAAAATGTAAAACAGAGTAGGTTGAAAAGAAAACTCCCTGTGAGTCAAAGTCCTTCTTCTCAATGTGCATTCCATCAGCAACTCCGGGCACATCAACATCAGGTCCTAGAGGCATCAAAGACATGGGCCCCATAACATCACCAACAACCGCGTCCTCCGTGTCTAAGCCCTTGATACTGGTTGCGTCCTTCGACAAGTGAACATGGCTTCCAGACGTAATCCCCAACATCTCTTTGGACGAAATCGGAAAGTCATTGTGTAAATGCATATGCTCCTCATCTGAGATACCAACCCTGTTCATGAGTAAATTCAATGAGTTATAGAGGTACATGTTGAAGTTCTCGTCTCTGTCATTCTGTGCTTCTTGAGTGAGCATAGACGACATCTCCAACAAGGATGTGATGTCCAACAGCACTGTAGGAGCCTCCATCACCTCATCATTCCCTGGGTACTCTGGCACTTTCTGGGAGATCGTATATTGCGTGAGCAAGTTGCTGAAGAAAAACCTCTTAATCTGCCACCCAAATTGTGTGTCGTCCATCTCACCGAGAATGATCTGACCCACATAATGGGTTTGCCAGTCATAAAAACGAATATGACACACAATTGAGCTCGAGTACATTCGCTGCTGTGCTCCACTGGCATGAGTTTGGCTTGCACAAAATTCTACCACACATTTTGGCGGTCTTGTTGAAATTAGAGCGAACCATCTGCAGGTGAATATTGCCTTGCTTTCTGGTCCACTTGGCATTTGAATCCATGCTACAAAGAGTGTGGCATATACCTGTGTAGTTTGGGCTTCTAACAAATTTTTGGAGCCTCCTTGGGTCAGCATTCTCAACCCCCAAAAATGCACATAAGGACCGTCTATCAAGTGGCACGTCCTTCACACGTACATGTGACCAGAACAAGTGTATATCCTAGTTAGTGTATAGTTCCCGAACCATGCTCAAATTTTCATGCCCGAAGCATTTTATGAATTTGTCCATGTTCAGTGCTTGCAACCGGCCAAGTACGTCCGGGAAGTTTCTTTCTAAAGCTTTGACATTAATCCCCATCTTAGAGACGTACCTCCCATATGGCATGAAATCCCTATGCCATGCAATAGAGGCATCAAAGACTATATTCAAATGAGGCCTCGGTCGCAATAGTTCCTGCTGTGATCCCTCAACAACTTGTTTCCCTTTATCTTGCCGCGAGGAACCTTCTCCTTGCTTGCGTTTTTTTGGGTGCGGGGCAGTGGTGGAGGACTTTCCTATTCCCTTTCCTTTACTTGCACTATCACGAGCCATAGCAACCTGCAAAAAAAGCAAATAAGCATGAATCCGAGAACTAATCAAGAAATACGCCTAAGGTTGTCACGCATGTCAAAAATGATCCCACACTTAAAACCGAAGGCTCCATGTACAATACTTTACAACTGTGATCTAAAACGCACAAGTATTGCACTACAAGGCCATGGGTACTCAAGACTTCCCCATGCCACACAATAGCTAAAAGGCACTAATCAATGCCATACAAACAAGTGATTGATCATGGCTAAGTGAATTCACCTCAATACAAGCAAGTGGCATATGGTACTCTAATCTCCACAATTACTTCAACTACACCTAATTAGCTAACTCTAAAACATTCTACAACATACATCATATAGGATACATAGTGTGGGCAATATGTGTGCCTTGAAACCAAGCTCTCTAGCATATAAAATCATCCTCACACACCCCACACTTAGACCAATATCATATACAAATACACTTAGTTACTCAGACTTCGCCGATGCACAAAATAACCATTCAAACATTTTAACAAATATCTTGTGGGAATGAAGTGTATGAATTCTAGCTTAACAATGGTGGAATATGGTGTCCCTCCCAAATTT